GCTATGGTAAGTGGCGAGATTTCAGCTTGTTACTTTCAAGTCGTCTTCTGGTTGAGCTATTACGTACCGAAACTATCTGTAAAAAGTGTCAGGATAACAGGATGTACATGAGGATTAAAACACCGTCACTGATACAGTTCTGTACTTTTTTTATGTGTTATAGAAAACTTTTTTTTTTTTCTTTTTGACGTCCTTTGTCTGTTGAGGTTTTGTTTACTACCCAGCAAAGCATTCATGCTATTAAACTTTAGGTTTATACCCTCATGAACAGACACTGGAGCTTGACCAGAATGCTCATGTTTTGGTCTGTTTGAGTCATGTGCATGACAGAGAAAGATTGATACCCGATCACTTTATCCAGGTATGTTAGTCAAATTATGGGATGATACATTTAATGTGATTTTAGTTGGATTTATATGTTCCTCAAAACTCCAGTTTCAGTCGGACTTCAGTCGCCAATAAACCTTTTTTAATATGTTAACGTGCTGCTCCACTTTAAGCCCTGTGATTGAGCCACTTGGTAACAACAATTTTCCTGCATGTGTGACATTTCCTGGATCGCCACACAGCATCTGCACATTCCATCTCCTCCTCTGTCTCCTCCCCTTTCATCTTTGCAATAACAACAGTATGATCAACTGCTGCTTATCATGAATCGACTCCAGCTTTAACATAAAATGCTTCAATAATATGATAGCCTATGGTTTACCATGAACATACAAGCAGAAGATGGAGCAGGACCAAAAACTGGAGATGTAACCAGCATAGAAATCGCACTTCTAACTAATGTTTAGACAGAGTGTAGTTGAAAAATGCAGATTTTTCCGATGCATACGTTTTTTGTCTCAATAATAACATTAGGCCACAATGATGCTGCTATAATGAAGGTCATTGCAGATGTATAAATCAGACTTTATGTACAGCTCTCATCTTGAGACCCCTGGCTACCATATACCACTGTTTACTGTTTAGCTTATCAAGGACGCCCTTGAATAGTCAGATTACAAACTGCAGCGAGTTAGCAGGTAAAAATGTTTGTTTTTTTTTGTTGTTGTTGTTTTTTTTTCATGTAATGATAATATCTGGGCAATCAGGGTGTTATTCAATCGGTTAGTTTCTGCAGTTCAAAAGAAGAACAAAACTGTCCTAAAGTTGAACCTTCCTGAAAGTAAGCAAAGTACACTGGGAACAAAAGTTTCAAAGGTTAACCAAAAAATCTGTCTTATTTCAGTCTGCAACACACTGGAGGTGAAATAACCAGTTTGGGATAAGGAGTGGGTGCATCTTTGTATGTGTGTCATGACATCAGCCGGTCTGTTCCCGGTCTCTTTGGAGGACTTAGTGGGTAAACAGGTTGTGAGACAAGGTTTCAAAACGGCAGATCAAAGGAAGAGGTGTGTTACAAATGAGATGAATTACAGTGTAGGAAGGAGATAACCGGTGTGGCGACTGCACTCCTGCCAAAAACTCTTCTTATAAACTCCTTCAAAGGTGAAAAAGAGGTTGACGCAACATCTAAATATGTTCTGCTGAGTGTTTATATAAGCAGCTCTGTTGTTACCTTGTATGTCCAGTTTTAGAGGAGGATTGAAGGATTATAATGTCTTCTATGGATTTAGAGCGCTTTTGAAGTCAAGACTCAGACAAACCTCTCAAAGCCGGCTGTGTAATTTAAAAAATGCATGGTCACCAAAGCAGAACTTAGAATAGTGAGAAGTTGGTGGAAGGTTTTGACCCTGCAGCAGTGATAGCTAAATGCATGGAGGCAGCTTGGGAACGGTTTCAGACACATTCTTTAGGCAGCCTTTTTTTAGTCCCTCTGGAATCTGAGTGATATTTCAGTCAAAAGGCGAGAGCAAAAGCCTGTGGTTGTGTGGGTGAAATCCGGATACCATCCAACGTTCAAAGCCTTGAAATACATACGCCACACAATGTTAAAGCATTCCTTTTCACAATTTACAATGCATAAACATGATGGCTTACAGACGCCCAGGGTGATTATTTGCACAGAGGTCTAGTTTCAGCTATTTCAGGTTTTCTCCAGGCTGCCCCACGATGCCACCCCACAAAGTGATTCTTGAAAGTGTTAAACCATAAGGCCCCCCAGCTTGGATGAACACTAAACACTGACTGTTTAGACTAAAAATATCCAACACAGAATGTCCAGACAGCACAAACCACAGAGAGAGAGAGAGACTCACACCTGTAAAAAAGCTAAATCAACTACTTTGGCACATACACCTGAAGTGCCTTCATCCATTCTTCTGATATGTCAGCAGCACACATATTTCTGACTTATATGAATGTGAGCGGTCTGCTTTATATACAGGGGTAAGGACTTCTCATGAGTTCATGACAGAAATCTACAAAGTCCAGAGGTGGAAAAAATACACACTTTCTCCTTTCAAGTAGAATCACAGGTGTATGTGTTCGAAAGACCGATAGAGGTAGATATTCAGAATCAACTTCGAAATGAGGTCAGAGGGGGAACGTACACTCTTTAAAATATATTCAAATGAAAAGGCTTTATTTGGGGCTCAAATCAAATATCTTCAGCTGAGAGTCACACCGTGGTTTTCCCTAAAAGGTTCCTGGGGGTTGTGCTCCCCTTTTGTCTCATTTTTTTTCCATTGGTATGCTAACCCTGTCTAAATGTCAGTGTATTTTTTCAATAACATTTAAAGTAAGGCTATCAAACAATTTTTAATGGGGATTAATCAAAACACTGTCACACTGTTGAGAAATATGCAGGAATGCATATGTAGGAGAGTCCAGTTCATCAATATGGTATGTGGTCACTTTGAGATTCTTTTGATTACTCATGTACAGTGATCCCTGGTTAATGCAAAGGCATTTACACTTCTCAATCATTCCAGTTTGATTGCTTTCTCTGTTTTATTCAGGGCCGGTATGTCTGAACATGTAACTATCAGTCTCAAATAAGAAGTGCTCCTTAGGTCTGAGCCCTCCACAGTGTTGACTTGTCCGATGTTGTCACCCATTTAAGCAGGTACTCCTTCAGTTTAGTTTTATCTGTGGTGACTCGCACACTCCAGCATGGTGCTCTGCGGTTTCTAACATACATCAGTGTTATTAGCCGCACCTGCATGCTTAGCCAATAGGTGGTAGCTTTAAACTCAAATACTCAGGTGACATTTAAATATAGTTTGACACAAAATGAACATTACTTTTGAATTTTCAACAAAGGTTTTTCAAGGTGCCATTAAATATCACATTGCAATTAATGGGTCAACAATGACAGCCCAAGGTGGTGGCATTTGCAAAGTCAGTGTCACAATAATTAAACTGACAATTTTCAACTTGAACGCAGAGGTACACAGCAAATATATTTGTGGTAAAACGTGGGGGGTAAAAGCAAAAAAGCTGTTAGAAAAATAAACACACACTGAGAATGAATTTCTAAAAAAAAATCTACTTTAGCAGAGCAACAAAGCTCTTGTTCTCTGTTTCATCCCGGCTCAGATTTTGCTTTATAAAAGAGATGACATGTAAATCACATCCTGTGTAAGATAATGCCTGACAAGCTGCACTTTAAAACTCGTCTTTGCTCAGGGTCATGTATTCACGGCAGCTTCTTTCTGCACATACAGAACATGAACTTACTGTCAGCAGCTCTGATAACACAAGAGAGAATGCACCAATTTTTCATTTTTCAAAAGTTGTGAAAAACCTAAGCAGAGCAGCATCTCCACAAGGACCCCACTGATGTATCATGAAAGCCTGCGACTTCTCAGTTTGCATTTGATACGGTGTCTTTTTAGCAGCCACGCGAGAAAGCCAGTTATGGGAAAACTGCAAAAGGGAGAGACAGGACGAGCTCCTGGGCCTTCAGAAGTCTCGTCAAAAGCCTTTCCTTTCTCTGCTTTGTCCCACCAATATTCATCTTGCCAGTTGAAAAGTGAAGACGGCAAAAACTTCAGGCTTGAAAAGAACTTTTCAACTTCTAAGAGACACCTCGCAACAGGACTTGAGTGTTTGAAAAAAGATAGAAAAAAAACACCTGAAACAGTAGGAATGGAAGGGACTTCCAGACCGAGAGGCATGTTCAAGAATCAGATACTGCGTTTGGTGAGAGAGAGCAGAGATGAACATGGATTTGTCCTCTGGTGAAAGGAGGAAACAGGCTCACACAGAGTGTGTTGACTCTGGCTTGTTTGTTTGCTAACATCCCTCATATCTATTTAACATATTCCACTAAACATACTTATGCTCTCTATGTGTTCTGGGGCTAAACCTGCTGCAGCATGTGTGTGTATGAGACAGACAAAGAGCTGTGTGTGTGTATGCGTGTGTGGTGACGTGCACATTAGCTACATCCATCAGTAACACCTTGTTAGACATTTTGTCTCAGAACTGTCGTCCTGCAGCGTGCTGTTAAAAGAAAAGTTTAATAAAGTTTGATCACCAATTTATTTCATCTCTGACATCAGTGGGGCTTTTCGAAATTTGCAGAGCCAAAACTTTCTCTCCACATCTCTCTACCTCAACACTGCTTGTCGCTCAAAAGAGAGCTGACTTCATCAGTGCACCTCGAGAGTTTGACGAAAATGAACGCTAAGCTCTCGAATCCTTTCTTTCTTTCGCTCAATGGCAAAATGAATAAATGATACTCTTTCCTTTAATCGACGCACTCAGCGATAACAAAGAGACTTTGAGACACTTTGAGGACACCTAACGATCAGAAGCATCAGGGGGTGCTCTTCATTTTCGTTGACGGACAGGCAGATCAAAAAGCGAGCCCCTTAAACGATTCTACCCACTTTAGAATAATCTCGCCTTCTCCCTCTTTTAAGCACAAAGTGGGAAGAGAGAATAAGCGTTTCATCTTTTCTCTCTTCTCCTGTTTCAAAGTTATGTTGCCCATGAAAAAGCGCTCTGTATTGACGACTTAGAAGGTGCCTTGTCTCTTGAAAGAAGTGACATTTTATCTATATATAGTGTTAGAGTGTGCTTCAATTTAACTTCGTCTGGTGGGGAGCGTGTCTGCTGTTGATGTGGGTGACAGCTGCTGGTTGAAAGACATTGGGAAAGTACTGAAGATTCAAATGAAGTTTTGCCATGACAACAGGGGCTTGATGTGTGCTAATCAATCGATGGAGTAGAAAAAAAAGCGCTTGGTGGTGAAGGAAGAAAAAGGGATAAAGTGTGAGTGACAGAAAGTTGTCAGACAGCGCTCACAGAGATATCAAAAAGTCACAAAGTTTGCGTCGCCACACAAGAGCCTAAATCGCATGTGGTATAGGCTACAAAAGGTTTGACTTGAAACGCATTGCATTTGATATAAAGGAAAAGAAATTGGGACAATTCTCCATATGCTGTGGTGGCAAGAAAGATTTTTCTTCTTTTTGACAGAGGAGGGGGGCAGGCTTTGTTTCTGTGACACCTACAGTGAATTCCTGAGAAAATTCTCCGTCGAGGTCTGTCTGAGCTTCTTCCACCCTTCAAAGGATGCGGGGCCATAGGATGTGGAATTTACATCACAAAAGACCCTGAACTGTCTCAGCAAGTAAAGGTATAACAGATGATCAAACACACAAGTCAGATCAAATGCATCAAACATCAGTATCTGAAAGAGCAGATCGTGAGAGATGGCCAAGACGTTGACTCTAAAGAGACTAAAAATACTCTTTCACTAAAGTTTGGCAAAGTTGTTTAAAGGCTTAGAAACATCTTAACCCAGTGCTTACAGGTCTGCAAACCAGGAGCTGCTCTTCAGGCTACTTGATGAGGAGAGTTTGAGGTAATAAACCACAACATCTGAGCCACTGCTGTTGGATTCAGCTTTACGCTCAGCAGCCAGAGCTTTCATAATGCAGTACAACCTTTTCCAGATGTGGATCGCTGAGGAATTCCAGGAAACACAGCAAATCCACCGATCTGTCCATCCACATGAATGTCTCATATGAGTCAGGAACAACAGGTCAAGGTGACAGAGATGAGAAACCAAAGCCACATAAGGTATGAACATAAATATAAGATGGATAATGAGATGGATGGGAATATTTTCCATTTACGGATATGCTCGTTATTACTTGGAACATGGCTGTCATAATGTACCAATATTGGTGATAACTGTCTCAAAAGAAATAAAAATGACATTTATAGTTTAGTTGCTAGTTATGCTAGTAATCACACATCATAAAACTGAAGATAGATCATAAGGAAGTAGCAGACTGCAAACAAACTAACTGAAGCAGCTCCATGGGTGATTTCAGACAGTCAAACATACATCAACATAATGCGAAAGCTATTGTTCAATCAAGATTTGTTAATTCTTTTTATTAAAAAAAAAGAGCCCCTATTGGAAGTTGTTACATTAAAGGTGAAGTAGGCAGGAATCTGTCTAAGAATTATCTTTTTTTGTGGTGTATATGCAAAAGAGCTTTTAATATCAGTCAATAGCTATTAGTTACTGATGATATTTAGAAATATCACAATATCGCTATGTTCTCTTATGCATGTAGTCAACATTTAAAATTTTTGAGCGGACCACTCACTCTGAGTGTAAACAAAGAGAGCCGACTGCTAACACAAGCAACAAAACACTTCAGGACGCTTTGGGATCTTACAGACCCTGTAACCTTTCTGCCCCCTGAACCTTTTCCTGGACAGGTGAAAGCCAAGTGTCTGAAACAGAAGTGTTTCTTGTCAATGTATTGTAGTGCCGCTAAACTGTTTACCTCAGGTCCTAGAGTATGTCACTTTATCCTAGTTGTAGGAGTCCTGCAATTATTGTGTTTGCTGCTACTCTGTTGGCATCTACAGTAGCACCAATGCTTCTTACTTTCACATTGACTGGGCCCCATTCATAATTATCTGAAGTATTTTCTGCAAATATATCTGAATCTAAGTGGAACGATACGAGCGAGCAGGAGTGTCTATTTTGGAGCAACGACTTGCTGGAGCAGAGAGGGAGGGGAGAGGAGGAGCTGAGGGGAAAACTGGTTGGGAAGGGTAGTGTTTATGTTCTCCTAAAAACTAGCACTTCCTCAGATCCTGCCTAACCCACCTTTAAGTCCACATATATGAGAATGCACAGTTCAGACTAGCCGTGGTTGGGGCTCAGTTAAGCATTTTGACTGGTCAACTTTCCTGTGTCATGCAGGAACAGGCTAAAATTAATGCATTCATTAACTTCATATATATTATGATGAATGGTGGACTAAGTGGCTGTGTTGCAAATTTTGAACAGAAACGTTGGTGTAGTTTGTCATAGAGACAGCAAGTGATTGCTTAATTTTAGGAGGTTTCAAGAGGTTCTGAGAGTTGTTCAAGAATCAGGATTTTACAGCAGCTGAAGTCAGATTAAATGACTGAACTGAAACTGGCCTAAGTGTTCAGCCCAGCACCAGTGTTCATATGCCAGAAGCTGAATAGCATGGATGTGCTGTTAGGAAGCAGGTAGTAATCAAAACCCTTACAGACAAAGACTAAATGTGAAAAAGAGTAAACTTTCCTTAAAAAAAAAAAAAAAAAAAAAACAGCACAGAGCTGTGAAAGAGATGTCCTATTAGCCTCTTGCTAACGTCTTTTGCCGGCTGTTTTGATACGCAAAACGTCAACTAGGAGATGACCTGATGGTAAAAAACTTAAAGGGGGTATGTCGTCACCTATAGTAGCAGAGGCAGACATGCTTGGGTCAATAATTCCATTCTTCGCCATCATTCTTCTCAACTTAACTGTGCAGGTAAATGTACTGTGTGTTAGTTGTTGCATATTCATTTATGTCTCATGTTAGATCAATCAGTCAGGTTGCATTTTGCATGGGTGAAAATGTTAGATAATAGTGGGGACTGGTTCTCTAGTTAGTTAAAGCTAATTGCTGATCAGTTTGGTGTGCTGAAGGCATAGATCTGCATTACAAGAATGAACATCACTTCTTTCAATGTTTATTTGTAATTTTTCTGTTTTTTGTTTTTTTTTTCAGGAGAATTGTGAGATAAAGCCTTGTCTGTGCCACACTTGCGCCCCCTTTTTTCTTATAACTGATTCAGTTTCTCGGTTGAACACAGATTGATCTAAAGTGTGGATTTATTTAAGTCATTCTGGGCTTTTCTTAGTATGAAAGGTCTTAATTCCCTATTGTTAAGCCACTGCGTGATTTAATCATGGGCCTCTGTGCTAACCAGTCGAGACCCACATCATTAAGGCTAAACAAACATGGGAGTGTCATAAAATATGTTATGCCTTCGGGACGTCTGAGGATGAATGCTTGTGAAGTTTAGAGCAATTAAACCCCTCATACTCAATGTTAGAACAATAAAACCTCACATACAAAGAGCCATGCTCATGGACACAATTTTTAACTCAACTTTAATCAGAAAGGAGGGATAAGTGAACATTAGCAAACACAGACAGACACTCAGACACATGAATCTATGCATTGCACCAAATGTGATCAACGCTGTGAAACGGCTAACATCAGGGTATTGGTATTTGTTCAAATCTTCACATCAAACACATTCTTCCTTCTTTTTTATCTGCACACATCACAAAAGTTTCTGTCAGGGGGAGAAAGGCGCCTTCCGATCAGCGCAGCAGTTGGCACGGCCACCAGACAAGGCCCAGGCTTTCAGCGCGACTCTCTCGCTCTCTTTCATCATTTACAGAGGGAGCGTGCCGCGCCAGCACTGCCCCACACTGGAACAACACAGCTCACTGTCAGGGGGACAAAAGACAGTAGAACTGGAGGTGGCAGTGGACTCATTGTGAAGGATGATGTCACCGACATCAGACTCTGACACTGCCAGGCACCAAAGAGAGGGCGAGCAGGTCGAGAGCGAGGGCGCATGACAAAACGGGAACAGTGAATCAGGGCTGTTGGGGTCGAGGGGCCGGTGGCATGAACGCAGACTGTGTTCATGGTGGAGCAGAAAGAAGTACTCAGTCCAAGCTAAATATATACAGTCATGCTTTGAAACAGAAGGAATGAAGGACAGCCAGACTAGAAAGACAAAAGATCAACTCTAAACTGCTGTATGCCATCTGCAGGGGTTGAAAGATAGTCCTTTACATTCTAGCTACTGTAACCAAGCAGATTTTGGGGGAAATATACCTTTTTGAGTAGTTCTTAAAATATTTTCTTTCACCTTTACTGTAGAATTTCCTGTTGACAGTATTCAACTTGCTTTAACTTTAATTTCTGAGTAAGGAAAATCATAAAAAAAACAAGAATTTCCAACAAACTAGCTGACTGGACAATGGCTTAACAGTAAAACCCCCGAAAGTGTGCCTTCACACCTAATTGCAGCTACATTGACCAAACAGGCACAGTTACATCTTATTTAATGACAACTTATTGATATATGTATATATTTAAATCTCCTATGAAGAGTTTTTGACAGGTTTTCTGCCTGTAACAGCTGTGAAGGGAGGAGGTACGCTAAAGACCCCACTGCAAATATCAAGAATGATGGATAATTTCACAATAAAAAGACGACAGCAGAAGTTTTTCTGTTTATTATCACTGCCTCCACAAAGACGAGACAAAATCAGCCAAAAGAGAAGAGTAACCACTTTGTCCAGAGGGGGCGCCAAAAATTAACATAGACATCTCCAGTTCCTCACTAGAGCTTTAAGGATTTAGCGGAAGTAGAAGCTATTTTTACCTGTTACAACTGAAGTCCTTGTTTTTGGTCTGTAACAATAATCCTCTCTTTCCCTGACCTGAGTTTGCAGGGACCATTGATAACATGCAGTACTGGAGAAAATGGCTTTAAAAAATGTTTGGTAATGTCACCATGGATAGGTCAACGTCAGGATTTCTTCTCACATTAAGTTTGGGAAAACATGTTTTGCATATCTTGGGGGACATATCTTACCTCATCCCACTGTGGAGGTCCATGAAGGTCACAGGTAAGATAAAAAGGAATCGGACAATAAAAAAAGCCATTAATTAAAATTATTTACCAGTGGTTGATTATTTTTAAGTAAATTTCAAGTATATGAACAAGATTAACAGTCTTGCTGCTCGATCAAGACTGTTAATCACCAATGCTATGGTTTGAACAGCCATGTGTTAAAAGTAAGTCAGTACCTTAAACACATTTCAAATGAAGAACTTTTTATTTTTCCTTGCGTTGATTAGCAGAATGGCAGTTTTACTTCAGTAAATTTGAATACATGTAATTGTACTTTAAGTGGAGTACCATAATACTCTTTTCACCTCTGTCCATCTAACAAAGCAGTCATTTGAGCTGTGAATGCAGGATACTTTTTATCTCTTGGCAGTCAGATATGCACTAAGGACAAAAGTCATGATGTCCTGTCAAACTGTCACACCAAGGAAGTTTATAAACAGGCTCAAAACAGGACTGCTAACTCTATAACAGGGCTTGAAGACCTCCGGCTTTGGGCTTGAGTTTGATTTTTTGTTTTTCTAAATCATGTCAAAAAAGAAAAAAAAAACCTAGTTAGTAGCGTACATCCTGCCAGAGAAGAAGAAGAAGAAGACGCGGAAGAAGAAAAAGACGCATCAGCAAGCGGTGAACGTTAAATTTCCAAGATGGATGCCAGGTACATCAGTCCAGGAGAAATGGCGATATTGGAAGCTGGGCTTGGGCGGAAGAGGCTGGAAAAGATGGAAAGCCTCACAGTAGCTGGTGCCGAAAACTGAAAGAGCCAGGTGCTTGTTTTTGTGTGTCATGCGCCGGAAAGCTTATAAATGGCAGCAGTGGGAAAAAGTTTGGTAAAGTTGAAAAGATATTCACAGATTCAGACTCCCGGGATAAATAACTGAGACGAAACGTCGTCTAAACACAAATAATGCTTCTTTCATGTCGTAATAGCACAGACTACTAGCTACAAGAATCAAAAAACAATTTGTTTTACAAAAACAAGTCGTTCTTCCAGCTGGATGAATAATACTGATCTCTATGCGCAGCCGAACGAGTGCGCAGGGATCGTCTGCAAATTATGATACAAGACCAAGACGCTGCAAACAAATATCAATAGCTCTACTGTTATACAGTTAAGACTCCAAAATCACCATACACACCAAGGGACTCTTTATACTACAACAGCTGTTTAAGGAAAATGTGCCTTTCTATAATTTTGGTGAATTTTTATTGTTATGCATCATTAATATCTTCTAATATTAATCAACATTTCACTGTCATACAGTGCCCCCCCCCCCCCCCCCCCGAACACACACACACACACACACACACAAAAGTTGCTGCTATAATCTTACATGTAACTCTTACTGACTGAAAGATGTGAATGATACTGAATGGAAAAACAACATGAATCAGTATAAGAACTGAGTGGCACCTGGAAGCTTTTTTTTTTTTTGAAAGGCGTTTATCATGCTTCTGTGTCTAGTACTGGGGACTTGATCTAGGTATGATGCATAATTATCTAACTTGGAAATACTTGCAACTACTAGTTGCATTTATTTGGTTTTGTTTAGTTAAAGTAAGGTTTTTGCAGAAAAAAAGCTTCCATGATTTTAAGTGTTGTTCTATGCCAATCTGTCCATTTTAGTATTAAAAACACCTTAAAACTTGTTATAGTGTCTCAGTTGTCACTCCCGTAAAACAAAGTCAATAAAAAAAGCACACATTGATCATTGACCACCTTAACCTATCAGATACTACAGACATCCTCTTTAAGCACCTGGATCTAGAATCATATGTGTTTTTTTTTTTTTTCCAGTTTTGTCTCAGATATTAGAATAAAGTCATGTCATTTAAGATTTCAGATGAGAACAGACAGGGGCACAATGAGAGTGTGAGGTACTGTGGAGGACCACAAACAGCATTTAAAATCAGTCTCCTAGCGGCTTTGCTCAGATGCAGGCCCCCTAGTGGTAGTAAACTGTACTTTGACTGTTATACGTAAAGGCATTGAAGCCTTTACATATAACAGTTTTTTTTTTTTTGTTTTTAGGCACAGAGCAATGTGAGAATATTCTTTGCAGCAGAGAGAGGTTAAAACAAATAAAAGGAGTGATGCAACCCTGATGCTTTGCTTTATAGAGACACAGACAGTCCTTGTTGTCCGGATGTGTGGGAACATCAAAACACTTTAATTGTGGCTAATCCTGGACTAAGATTATTTCTAATGGGAAATCTTCAGTAGAGATGCTCCGACTCAATTTCCATCTGGGATTATTGAACTCTTTCATTCATCCGCTTAAATCTCAGTGTGGATAATCGGCCTTTCGTGTCTTGGCTCACCATTAAAAAGAAAAAAAAACGTGCAATATGATATATAGGGTGTAAACACGCATGCTGAGTGCACCCCCACATGAGCACACACACATGCACTTGCTGTAATGTGGTGATAGTGTAACCTTGCTGGATGAAGCCTAGTGTGAATCTGAGATGTGTTCTTTGCTTTTTTGCTTTTTGGAAGGGAATATGAGGCCTAGGACGCCCATGTAGGTCAAAAACAAATCCTGCGCCTCAAGCTGGGAAGCCAGAAACTTCTTTGAGCATCTGAGGGAACAGAGCAGGAGCACTGAGTTTCTTCCAGGTGCTGCTTTTCACAGTGGTAATCCTGCCACGGCGTGACTGTGATTTTTACAGAAAATCTCTCCAAACAGGGCCCAGATGGTGGGAGGTAGAAACACACATACTCAGAAAAAACACATTCATTCACAGATGCACACACACACAGGCGTACACTTGTGCTCGTAAAGTAGAGGGCTCCTGCACACACACACACACACACACACACACACACACTCAGACTGAAGGTGAGAACTGACTTGTTGCTCCTGGGTGGTCTCTGTGTAAAGATAAGGGCAGGCAGGAATAAATGAGTAGAGGTATAAGTTTGGGACATTTTCTGTGAAGTTCCTCTTTGTCATGTGTACACATTCACATGACAAAGCCAGGGCTCGCTCCTTCCTAAGTTTAGCTTCGATTACAGAGAGTTTCCTTAATAACAATGAGTCAGGGTTGATGCTCTATAAACCTCTGCCACTGCTCTGTTTGTGTAGGAGTTCTATACTAATACAGGAGACACCTTCGCTTTGAAGTGGTGTTGGTCAGGCATGAAGACCCTGACAATGGTTAGCATGTGAGGGATGTGGATGCATGGAGGACGTTTGAAATGAAGAGATAAAAGAGTTAATCTTCCACCATTCCTAAACCGATTCCCTCCATAGCTCCCTATTTATGTACAAGGAGAGAAAGGAAGAAAAAAAACTTTCTCCATCTCTCCCTTTCTGTTTCATGTGGTTACTGGAACAACAATGTACATTCTGAGTGCTAGGCCTTTGATGTTGTTGCATTCAGCGAGCCGTCTTAAACCGGAGGAGAAAAGAGAAGGCGAAAAAGACGCAGGAGAGATTCTGTGGTGTGCTTTTCTCTCCCTCTTTCCACCGCTCTCTCTCACTGGCAAGGCATCTGACATCTCCAGGCAAAAGACAAATTCTGTTTCGCCTGTTAAGTCGTCAGTCAAAGCTGCGCAAGAGTTTTTTTCCTCTTTCTTGCTCTCTCTCTCTCTCTCTCTCTCTCTCTCTCTCACTGCCTCTTTCTCTCTCTCTCCCTTTCTGTGTTTGCTTCATTTCCGTGGATGCCGTGTTGTGAAGGCCGCTTACACGCTTTTCAAACAATAACAGTTCACCCCCCCACCGCAAGTTTCCTCTCTGCCAGAACCCTACACATGCCAGCACATCCTTTAGAGAGCCTTGAACCGACAACAAACGCTTAAGCATTTTCACCGCCGAGAGAAAAGAGGGGCCCATCCACAAGCCCCTGTGTAATTAAACTAGATCTAATACTGTTATATGTTTCTCTTAGTGGAAGGAGCATTTCAGGGGCCTTTTTCTCACAGCACTGAATAGCTGTTTCCAGGTCAACACAATACCCTGCATAGGGACGAATAAAGCTTTTGCAAAAGGTTAGTGAAAGTTTTCCAACTGGTTTTTGTGGGCCTAAAAGAGTAAGAAGAGTGCAACAGTCCTGGGCCAATATAAGATTTTGTAATTATTTTTCTTTCAGCGCTAATTGATTGGATTTAGAGCCTTAACATCCACTGAAAGAGGGAAGGTGACAACATTCTCAGTCTTTCTGTCAATACGCATCATTATAATGCTGTAAACAACTCAGACTGTGAGTAGAAATGTACCCTCTAACTGTCCACTGACTGTGAAGCTGAAAGATATAGAGCTCCCCCTATTGAGTGGCTGCAGTATTGGTCAAAATCTCTTCCATTTAACAGGAAGATGGGTCAAGCTATTAAAAATGAGATACACATTAAATAAAGTTTATTCAACTATGGTTTCTGTCATTAGTGAGGTTTTGTTTTGATCCACTATTTCATTGATTGATTATTTGACAGCATTATTGACCAAAGCAGGCTCGGGTGTTCTTGATCACATTATCAGAGTAGAGCTGCAAGGGAGATTGTAACACAAACACAATAGTCATTGAACTATCCACAACTGTAAAGGTTTGTTTTACTCAACACACGAAACTGTTTTCCTGTGGACTGTACCCACTTGAGGGGTCTTCAGCATTTCATCAGTAACAATAATAATAATAACACAAGAGAGGGTTGAAACAAGACAAACAAATTAATAATCCAATAGTTCAAGCAATGGACAGTTAAAACAATAGTTGAAATAAATGTCAGACTAAATAGAAACTTGCCAGAGAGTGGCGGCAGCTAAAATGTGCCAGTGACCACCCACTGGAAGGAACCAAAAATCAGAAATCCAAGATCCTGTCACTGAGTAAATTCAATGTGTGTTTTAATTAACAGAAAGGGTGTGAGATCAGTCCCAAAGCTATGCTAACCAGGTCGCTGCACGAGTGCGATATTTCTTCAGGAGGAGTGAGTATGGGATTATTTCATTGCTTAGTATTTCCGTTTCGAAATGTATCTTCACAGCATGTCTTTTTATTTTCAAATAATTGTCCAATGTTAAGTAAATAAACATTATTTTAACTTAGTGACAAATTGTAAAGTAAATATATATTTCTAAAAATAAGCAACCCACAGAGTGACTGGTGTTAATCAATGGCTGCATTATTTATACTCACAGTGTCTTTATTACTTTAAATCATTATCCTGAATCAAAAAACTACAAACTACAAAATCTCACTAACTACAGAAGTGCTGATACAGTGGCTGTTTCAGGTTTGTTTATCGGTAGAAACATAGCAGTATATGATAGCAGCCTCTGTGAAAGAGTACCTGCCCTCTTAGTTTGAGGTAATGAAATGAGAACAAATTTTTAGGCCTTGTGGTTTTACACTGATTGAATATACTCATGAAAATAAAATTCATCCAACCTATTCGGCTCTATGCTAAATACTGTACCTTGAAGAAATGTGACTTTTAATTTAAACATGCTGTGTACTTTCCTGGAGACCTCGAGTCTGAAGATCTTTGCTAACTGAGAAAAAAAAAAAATGTTTGGGACTCCCAATGGACTGCATTCTCTGTACTACTATACAGTCAGAAACTAATTATAAAAACTACTTATACTAACTTATACTGTGCAAAAGAGCTCCTTTGCACATATTTAACATTCTATTTTTATACACAGACTATATTTAGAAAAATATTCATTGTTGGACTGTTTTTCATGCCAGCTGCAAAAAGATAAAAAATAAGAACCATCTCCAAATTTATCCCTTAAGTTATCTGGTTATTCCTGGATTTCTGCTCTGACCTTTTGTCTAGAACAGCGGTTCTCAAGTCTAGTCCTCGAGGCCCACTGTCCTGCATGTTTTGGATGTTTCCCTGCTCCAACACACCTGATTCAAATGATCAGCTCGTTATCAAGCTCTGTAATGGCTTAATAACGAGCTAATAATTTGAATCAGGTGTGTTGGAGCAGGGAAACATCCAAAACATGCAGGACATTGGGCCTCGAGGACTGGACTTGAGAACTACTGGTCTAGAACATCATAAAACAAGCATGTATCTTCCCCTCTGAGGTTAAAGGTTCAAACCACCCTTCAAAATGAGTCGGCCCTCTTTCTCCCAGAACATCAGTAACAGATCCATGTGGTGATGATAATTGTTCTGGACGTATTGTACCACCAGGGCTTTTTTCAACTCTGCTACACGTAAGAGCCTGGAGTGTCTGAAAACCAACATCCTTCCAGTGCCTCCATCCATCACCTCTGCAGAAACATATCACATCTCAATCTCTCTCCTCTGCAGTAGTCCGCTCACCATCCTTTCACCTCCACCCCAGCTATGCTGCTTATACTGAAGGCAGGAGAAAAACATGAAAGACAATCAAACACCAAGCATCAGAGCTGTCACCGCTGCCTGCAGAATGCAAAGTGTTATCAGAAATACAGCTGAACCTGATCCTGTGCTGCGCTGTCCTTCCTCCTGGCAAAGTTATCCTTTCAACTCACAGTGGCTGTCAATAACACACAAACAAAAACAAGAGAAAGATGCATGTTTGAATATTCAGACAACACTGAAATACTGCTAATCGACTCATATCTGTTCTGAACAATGCTGCTGAAGTGAAACAAAACAAAAAAAGCTGTTAAAAATGCACCTGACTGTCTTTCATTTAATGATAATGTTTCGCTTGTTGTATTTCTTATATTTGTATTTGCACGTTGCTGTACTTCTTGGAAGTATTTGAGTCATGGTACCACATGACAATCCACTGAGCTGGAGTTCTTCAGTGCAGTCGGCCTACAGCCTCTCTTTGAGGCCTTTAACACAGTGGCACTATTGTCACAATGAGGGGAGGTGTGAGGATGTTCAGAGAGAATACCCAGAAGCCTCAAATACCCCTCTGTTGGTGCAGATGAAAGGACCCCACCAAGCCAAATCACTTTATCAGCCCAAACAGCCTTGCTTATTGTAGGATGCCTCTCAGACGTTGGTTGCTGAGATGTCACACCACTAATTGAGAGTCACAACAAGGACCCTTGTTTGGCCTGCTGCACCAGTTGTGTACAGCTACTGTAATCACCACAATAATTTGACTCCCCTGAACATCAAATGGCAGCGTGGAAGCTGTAGGAATTTGCATTTTAGGCTTTGATCTCAGAGATTTAAATAAAGCGAGCTCACACTCTGTGAGGGGCGTGAAGGTTATGACGTCCTGGCCTTCCTAGTCTGTTAGTCAGTGCGGTGTCTATCTGAACCACCTCTATTGTTATTATTTTGGCTACAAAAGCAACAGGGCGAGAGAAATCAGTTATTAAAGACAAATATAACCCCGGTCTGACCCTGAGGCTTGTTTATGGTGTACATACACAGAGAGACAGAACTCATTTCGACAAAACACCAAAAAAAAAAAAAGGGAAAAAAGAACTGTTGATGCTTTCAGTCCCTTAGAGTTGAGTGAAACTTGGTATAATGGTTGGCAAAAGATCAAAAAGCTTTGGGATGGATAAGGCTAATTATAAAAATGAAATGGGTACATCCCTGCAGGGGCGGATCCAGGAGGTGGACACAGTTGCCCAACCTAAACAATTATTGGCCACTTTCCTTGTCAAACTCATAGACTGTATATACTATGGACAACTTGGTTCTGCCTCCCACCTGTATGCGGATTTGAAGCCAAAAAGCTCTCGGTATTTCCGTGATTTTTCTTCATTTCCTGAAACCAGCGCTGCGCAGTAGCATTGTTCGCATTCGGCGCAGGAGTTGCAGAGATTCGCTGTGATGACACTCGGCTCAAACAGCATATCCCCCCGGGTGAGCTATGCAATCCCTGAACGCCAATAAGCTGTATCAGGTGTCAATCAAAGAAACATGAACCCCCCAATTACTTTTAAAAATGGAGCTTCACAGAAAAAAAGGACTTAGCACAAACCAGTCTTACTGTAACTACATGTCAACATCACAAGCAGGGGGGAGAAAAATGTATGTTCTGTGTAATAAATTTGTAAAGTTTGTCCACAGCTCCATAAGCTTTGCTGATCGATGACCTATACTACAGCCCATTAACAAAGGGTGCTGTTCTCGGAGTGGGTTAACCCAGCAAGGAGACAGATGCTGTGCATTCTGTATACAGTCTATGGTCAAACTATTTAGGCTGTGCCCCGACATGTGCTTGTCTTTTTGTTCATACTTGAGCATCATCTTTTGGCCTATGAGCTAGCTAAAAACATTTAGATGCATAAGTGTAAAGGCACAAAATGTGTGAATTCTCTGTTAACCATGAAGGTCTTGGCCAATTTGTGTTGAGTCATTTGGCAGATGTTCAGATACTGGAGCATCTAATTTTAAAGATATACTATCATATGCTAGTTATCCTGCTTTTCTTTCTCAGCATGAAACCCATTATTCTGTCAAGCTTCTGTGGGCAACCTTGGGTTTGTGACAATTTTGGTGCCCCCTGTGGATAAAATAGTCTCTGTTTGTTCTCTAAATCTCATCCTGCTGCCTCTTGTCAGTCAGATGTGTCATTTACAGTGTGATTTATATAGTAATTGTAAAAAGTGGTTGGTTTCTTCAGTTGCTCTGCTGACACCCACCCCTCATATCAGTTTGAGGTATTAAAAACTAGGATGTAAATTCATCGATCTTTCTCAACAGGTTCAACTGTACCCTGCTTAATATTCACTATCTCAGCATCCTTACTAATGGCTGTGTGTGTGTGTGTGTGTGTGTGTGTGTGTGTGTGTGTGTGTGTGTGTGTGTGTGGCTTTAGGGGAGACTGTGTATGTGACTTTTTTGTTTGAATCTTGTCCCTGGCGGTCCTGTTTGCTCTTAGATATTATAAAAAAACAAAAACAAACAAACAAAAAAGCCCATCAATGTAAGTTTCAGTTTATTTCATTAGTTTGTGAAAAAAATCTCCTACAGGAGTTTTAAAACAAAACTTCACCTTTGTGGGCCAGAACAAAAGCAGGACCACAGAAATCACAGATAGATACACTTTAGTATTGTATCAACTCCATTCCTCTGAGCCCACAGAGGAAGAGCACTTGACACTGATTTCAAATCATTGTCTGTGAACGACGCCCCCCCCCCCGGCCCCCTCAGTGAGATCTGTGTGCCCACTCAGCCATGTGGACTGACGTCTAATCAACAGCAATTAACCCGGGCTTCATTCAGGCCCCCACACAGCTACGAGATAATGAAGACACCACTGTGTGTTTTACTTTTTTCACACCCTGCTTTTGTCACTCTGCTTTCCTCATGGCTGACTGACGATGGAATGTGATTGGCCTGCTCGGGAAAGTGGACCCGCTGTATCACTGTGACTGCTGGGTCAGCATGAGAAGGCTGTGAAGCAGGAAATAAGATACTGTACAAAGAGGGAGGCTGTTTTGTTTTTATAGTGGGTTTGCGCAGCATTAGGTGATATATATGCTTCATAAAATGTGGGCCCGTGTAGTCGATGCATGACAGACCTTGTTTTGGAGTTTCAATTCCATTTCTCCCTCCTTGTAGCTAAGATAATGGAGTTCCTGGTCGATTCTTCCTCTGCATCTTTGGTCTCACTCCAATCTTGTGGCGAGCTTTGAGTCGACCTAGACAACAAATAGACACAGGCCGCACCAACATAGCATTACTGGCTTTTGTTTGAGACAAAGATATTTTGCATAACAGAGCTCTAGTGTGCAGATCTCAGATGGAGTTTTGGAAAGCACCTTGTAATCTTGAGCAGAAGGGCGATTCAAGTGTCAGTCAATCTCCCTTGTGAAAAGCAGACAGGCTGGTTGGAGCCTTGGATGCAAAAATAGCTTGGGAGATAGAGGACACCCCTACTCTACCCCCACAGCTGACCTTTGAAGAGAAATGTCTACATCAAATACTCTGAATTATCTATTCAAATGCCTGGAAACAATCTTTAGACAATGACACATCAATCAAAAGCTCCCTGAACCGGGGATGGTTGTTTATATAAATGCTGTCCATCTGGGGGAGAGATCTCAGCAACGATGCATCTCCTTTTCTGTGGGGAGATGGCAGAAAAAAGAAAGAAGGAAGTTCATAGAAAAACTTAAAATTCTGCTCCTTTTTTTTCTCTGCCTCTTTTTTTTCTCAAATCCCAGCGTGGATGTGTCGGCGAGCTCGTGGTATGCACCAAGATGAAAAGTAGAGGCCATCCCTTTGAAATCCTCCTCAAGTCAAAATTACCATTTCATTTCAACTCCAGCCAGGAAACGGAGAGCGGGGCCACAGCTAACTGCTTTGGGCATATCGTTATTTATTGTGTGTAAACTTTGGAGGAACATTGTTGCCTGGGAAAATGTGTTGTGTGGGTGGTGGAAGTGAGCAGTTGGAGCAACCACAAAGGGAGAGATCAGGCCTATTTTCTCTGTAGGAGGAACACATAAAAGTGAAAATAATGCCCATTATTACAGAAAAACAACATCAGACTTTTTTTCTCATAATTTTCTAACAACCTAGAAGTTACCGCTGAAGCTAAACAGCCAATCAGTTAACCCCATTTACGCAGCGGCAGTATCTTTTTTCCCCCTGCTCTTTTAATTAGTATGCTCTTAGTGTTAAGTGGGCCATTATCTGAGCTGGAACTAACTGCTTTTTCCATAACGGTCACATTAACTCTGTCATGTCAGTTTATTTAGTTGGCTTTATTTACCTCTGCACAGCATGTAAGCATTACTTAAGCTATACAGTAAACTTACTTACAGAAACCCATGCATTAACGGTGTGAAGCTTTCATTTAATCCTTAAAAGCAACAAGACATCAGCTGTTTTCAAACTCAAGTTTATAATTCAACAAGGATTAAAGGATCCGTAACATGGCATCTTTCTTATTCTCTGCTTTCTCTTTACTCACAGGGACTGATGTTTTTAGTCCTTCCAGTTACCTTTCTGTCCTATTTAAGTACATTGTGTTCTTCTATTTTTGAGCTGCTATTACAATACAACAACGATATTTAGTTGTAAACACCACGATTACTTCCTTTGATTCCTTTTTAACCGTAGTTGAGATATCAAGTCATGGATGGCGGAGAGCTTTTTACAGCCCAACCAACCAGGACAAAACCCAGGTTTCAGACATTGGTACTGGATCTCAGAAAGAAAAAACTGGATGTAGAACTCTAAGCATGGTCTTTTAATCCATGTAACCAAGTGAAGAATTGAGGTGTGATATTTGGTCAAAATCTCTGTTTTGAGCCTCATACAAGAGGAACCACAAAGACAGCTTTTTATCACCTGAAAAATATTGCCATAGTGTGACAGGCTCTCTCACAAGCCAACGCAGAGACTCATGTTTATGCTGTTATAACCTGCAGAACTGACTATTATAATGCTCTTTATTCTGGTCTCCCTAAAAAGAACATCTCTTAGCTTCAGCTGCTGAAAAACTTAGCTGCTTGGATGCTGACGAAGACCGTAACACCCATTTTAAAGTCTCTACACTGGCTTCCAGTATCTTATCTAAAATTAATTCTAAGGTTTTGGTTTTAAAAGCTCTTGATGTTCTCGCACCAACTAACTTATCAGATTTGCCTTTATCATATGATCCTGTGAGAGCCCTCAGGTCTTTAGGAAAGGGGTCTTTCAACTGTTCCTAAAGTGCGGACAAAGACCCACAGTGAAGGAGCTTTTTATTGTTACAACCCACGCCGTGGAACAGTCTCCCAGAAGACCTGAAGATGGAACAGCGTCTCAGTATTTTTAAAAGCAACCTAAAGACCTACCTTTTTGGTCTGACTTCTAACTGAATTTCACCTTATTCAGGTGACTGTTTATCAATTTGTTTATTTTATTTCATATTTTTTTGTTACCATAACTCATTTCATCAGCCACATGCTATGCAAATATTAGCTGTCTTTGGGTCTTAGTTTATTTATTTCTGAGCTAATATGTGTTATCTAGTTTTTTATGTTTAATAAATTTTAGATTTTACTAAGCTTACCTTCAGTGACTCTTCATGAACTTAAATTAAACAACTAGTGTGTGTGTGTGTGTGTGTGTGTGTGTGTGTGTTTATATAACAAACACACACACACACACACACACACACACACACACACACACACACACACAGAGTTTGTTTTGCTTGTGTTTAACTGGATCATGAATAAGGGTTTAAGATTTTTTGTTCTTGCCATTTCATTTGTTCATGTAAAGCACTTTATGCTACTTTTTGGTTAAATGAAAAATGCTATCCAAATAAAGTTTGAGTGATTGGTGGTTTGTTGTCCTTTGCACTCACTCCCTCTCACGATATATCGCATCATTGTTTTGCAAGGCAAGGGGAACTAAGTATCAGGCAAATATAAGGGGATCACTGATCATAAATTGAATGATGCTGTTGGCTTGAACAAAAAGAAAACCGTTTTCCTCATTTCCACCCTCACACCTTAGCATATAAGCAAAGCAGACAGATCTCAGAGAGCAACTGTGTCATAAAAGCCACAGCAGAATGCCACAGACCTGTAGAAGAAGCTTAATTAAAGAAGTTAGCTACAGCAGTTTCTATGCTAGTTAAATGGATGGCAACTGCCCGCAGGCCAGTCAACATCAAGGGAAGACAAAGGTCTAAAGGACGTCCTCAGGTCGTCCATCTAAATATTCTGAAGGATCAGAAAAGGCTGACTAGGGACCTGAGCAACTTGAACTGAGCAAC